GTACGTCTCCGAGTTAATATCCCCTGTAATTTTTATTCGAAGAAAATGTTTATATTGTTTTCTGATGATCATTTTTTTACTATTTATATTCAATTTTTTTACTTTATTTTACATTTTACTATTTCACTTTTTTCCGTTGTTTTTGCTTATTTCAGTTTTTTCCTCTCTCTTTGTTTACTTACCTTGTACATCGGTATTTGGTATTTTCGAATTTCTTCCTAGTGTATGCATAATTGTGCCGTATCTTTCTTATTGTTTTTTGGCTAACAATGGTGGATTTATTTAAGGAATATTTTAGTTTTATCATTTCATTAATTTTGTATGATTGAGTCTCTCCTCCGTCATCTGGTTTAAATGTAGAACAACATTCCTTTTTTGTACATGTTTTTTGAATATGGTTCCTACTTTTGAATATTAAGACAATTTGTAACAAGCTGTTTCTTTTTGAAAATAGTATACTTATCCATGCGTGACAATCACTATTTTATTAAGTATTAATTTATATTTTTAATTGAATTTTAGATTTTCCTGTCGATTGATTAGAGCGCAATCCTTGATCTCACTGGGTTGGAGTCTCGGTGAGAACCTCGTCAGTCACTGGAAAATGCAGGTACAACCAGGTTACGATTTCCAATTAGGACGAAATGTAATGTCGTAATAAATTGGATCAATTTCAAGTATTATAAGTGAAGTGTTGTTGACGAACTATTGAGAATTTGTCTACACCTAACAGTGTTGTGAATATATATTGTTACACTTTTTGTGTCTACCAGTTGGTATTCATATGAAGTGTCCAATTCACTTCTGAGATTAGTCTTCAGTCAGTATGCTGAGAAAATGTGTAATTTTCTATGACTAAATCTCCAAGAAGTATTGTAGGTGAATTCATCTGGACAGTTGACTGGGACTATAGGTGTAAGTCAGTTCTGAGAATGCTTAATAATGATTTCAATGATGTTCATCACTTTTCACAGTGGCGTATTTATTAGGTGTAGCAGTAGAAAGTGTAAGTTAACATTAGTCAGTTTTCTGATGACTTACCCAGGGCCATAATTGCATACAATGCTCAGTCTGAACGGTGAATTGGGACATTCTGTTACACTGCAACCAATATCGGTAGTTTGTTCCCAGACAATCTAAATGAAAAGAAGGGAGTGGGATGTGAATTATGTTATCCTTTAAAAGTCTGTCTGAAACATCCAGCGTGTATGCCTTGTTTCAAGAATATATATATATATATATACATTGTAGTTAAATTGAAGTAACATTTATAAGTTCAGTCATATCGTAACAAGCTCTTCGTACTGTATTGGTACACCTTAGCTTGAGTACAACTTATTTAGTATCTGTGAAACGGGTGTACAAATTGATGTACGTCGTTCGAATTGACAACCGAAAGTTTAATTTTGTCCTGCAGTACAATTACTAGTATTTAGCAATGCTGAAATTCATATCACTGACTGATGTTTCTATTAATTTTTAAAGCTAACTGTGAAGGCTTCAATATAAGTTTGTTGATTAGATGTATCACACAGTGAAACAGTATTATTCACTGGATGGCGTTTCGAACAATATTCATTGTTCATAATCATATCACTTGTAATCACTCGACTTTGAAACGGTTTTATAGTTTTCTTTGTCTTCTCCTATTTGACGTATAGGTAGTAGAATTTTCCAAATATATGCCTGGACAGGTGTTGAATTATTCCTATTACATGTATTTGCAGTTAATTCAAAAAACAAAGCTTCTGTTATCAATCTCTCCCCCCACCCTGTGAAATTAGATTTTAAAAGTGTCATCCTATCCCATCCTATTGTATGGTTGTGTGTAACTGCATGCAGTGAGTGGTATAGCTGAACTATTCTCTAGATTTCTTACCTTTTTTCGGGTCAACCAATCGAGATTTTGCTAGGTTTTTAAGTTCGGCTAGTCTGACTGACTGCCCTGTTGACCTACGCATTTGACCTGACAATCACCACAGTCAGGGTATTAGATAAACTAAATTGTTTTGTTTAAAAGGCTCCACAGGCAAGATCCTTTAACCGACAAAGCTGTTTCTAATTAAGTTTGAGGGAAACTATAAAACTCAAATTTCAAGGTCATATGATTATCACTGATACGATTATGAACAATGAATTCTGTTCGAAACGTCATCCAATAAATAATATTGTTTCACTGACTGTGTGATACATCTAATAAACAAACTAGTGTGGAATTATTTACTGCCGCAGTGCCCAAGTTTTACACATATATATATTAACTGTGAAGGCTATCGAGACTCTATAATACTTACGCATAGAATTAGCTAACAAAGTATCAAGCGTATTAATCATATGGTTCTGTACACATTTTACAACTCTTACCTGTGTATATTCATTACATTGACCTTCTCCACAATAACTTCTGAAGTAATCATAATGTTTATTTTCATCCAGCCATGATTTGAATCCCCTTGTTTACAAATGAACAAAAATCAGACGTAGCACTTAAAACAATATACTGTTCAGTTATGAATAATTGATGTATTTAAATATCACTCCATGCCATGAAATCATTTGAATAACGCCAGTTCGTTCAACTAAGGGAGATTAATCACCTATTTTACTCTATCTAGACAAAAAACCGATCGGTGTTAAAAACAAAATATCGCAAACGTGTATGATTCAAAGGAGCGGTGTGTATACAGTAACACTCAATGTAGATCATATCCTTGAACAGGATAGAAACACAACCATATACGTAAGTATTCATTAGCTTCTTAATAACCCTTTGAATTACTTACTCTTGATTGAACATTAATTGGCTGCAGTTTTCATTTTTGTGGATAAATAGCTATGAGGAGTGAATGCATACAATGTGAACTGACGATTAGTCGTTCTGAGTTCTAAAATGTGTCTATTGACCCCTAGGCATATGAAAATCGGTTTTCTGTAAGCAGTCATTATTGGTTGGCATTATCAACTGGTGCAGTGAATTTTAGCATCAGCCGAGCTCATGCATCGGTATCACAGCAGTAGAATGCTCACTAACCATGCAGATGGCTCAGATTTCAATCGCCGTCAACCGACGCACTCCTCTACCACGCTAAGCCAGTAATAAGACTTGTAAAGAGGGAAGGTTGGGTGTAGGGCCAGTAACGCCATAGATTAAAAAAATAATCACCACTATTACCGAAACTACAAGCCTGTCGCTTGAACGTAAAGGAATAAAAAAATCAACCCGTCTCAGTCTTGTCAGTCAAATGCATAGTCACTGTATAACAGTAATATGATAGCATGAACTACCTGAGTAATTGTTAGAATTTTCGGCTCTCAAAATTAAAGTAGTTTCAAGCTCATGTCCAATCACAGGTTATTCATATCTGACCCAAAGATAGACAGTAACTCACAGAATGATTGAATTTCGACAATGGAATTACTGACTCAAATCCCACTCTGATCAAGTAGAACATTTTGTCACAGTCATTTACTTCACAAATTGGAAGATCGGCATACATACATTGGACTGACAGAAATACCCTAAAAAATATGCATTTCGCAAGTGATTTATGTTTCATTTCTCAACAAGTGGACAGGAGAAACGCCAAAGATAAGATATCAGGTTAACAAACATAAGACATCAGAGATGGAGATACCTAATAAACAATAGGTCATCACCAAAAGGAGAAATGTAAAGCAATAAGTCCCTTTCAATTACTTTGGCAGCATTATTTCAACTACAGGTCGTACAGATAAGATTGTCAAAGTCAGTCAAGATCGGAAAAGCCAGACAGATAGTCATTGATATGAAATCGTTTCAGGGATCTAGAGCACCAATTAAGCACATAAGACAGGCCCGGAATATCCAAAGCTTCTGTCAAGTCAGTGTCTCTATACGGTCGAGAGACTCGTGTGCGCATCACCATTATCAGCGGCTACCTTCGATTTGTTGATAGCAAAGATCGGGTGGCCAGAGAGAATTAGAAGGCAGTAATCAACTCTAGCAATAAACCAACCAAGAACTTAATATCTAGGAAAGATGCGGAAGGAAATGCAGATTGATTGGTCATACTCTAAGGAGACATTCAATTGACACCACACACCGGTTCTTAGAATGGTACCCGAAACGGAAGTGATGAGTTAGTTGGGTGTGGGTTCAAGCATTTCATAGTGATCCCGCGAAGACGAAATGAAAGTTTATGGACAATTCTACAATGGGCTTGAAAAACCTGCAGAGGACAATACACTAGAGACATTTTTCCGTGTAGCCCTTGTTTCATTCGGAATTGAAGCAACAAACGATAAAAATAATCTTATAGATCAATTCGTTGCATGTGATCGCACAACATATGGAGTAAAACATTACTACTAGTGTTTTCATCAAATATACTGCTATGTTTAGGCAGTCAGAATGATATCATTTACAAGGAAGACGAAAGTCACTTACAGTTCGATTGTCCCTGCACCTGCCCAATTTTGACCGACATATTGAAATGGGGAAACTTTTCTGTCCACAGCTCTGTCATGTCCAGCACGACACTGTTCGGATAATGTTTGTGCCTTCTTTTCCAGTTCCAGATTGTATTTCTGAAATATTTGAAATTGGAATCCATAAGATCCACTTAAATCTTAATGACTGTCTCAGTGAAGTCGTTATACAAAGGTGTGTGGAGATAACTATACCACCCATTTAATAATTGTATCAGTTCAAAAATGTTGTGTCATGAAAACATTTGGGAATTTCAACAATAAATACGCATTTCGTGTTCATATGTACTTCAACCATTTGAAAATGGGAGTAAAGCCTGCCTACTAGCATGCATCAATCACGGTTGATGAATTCGGTAATGTTCTATTGTTGGCCTCTCAAGTCTTATAAAGGATTGTATTCAACCGTGAAACATGCCAGCACAAAAATCAGCTATTCAGACATCATTGAAAGTACTCAGTAGGGTATATATATATATATATATATATATATATATATATATAATACATTAATTGATACTGATTTATCTTACCATTGGTTCGATAGAAACGGCTGTCGGTTGTCCTTTGAGTTGACCATTCCGAACAGTTTGTCTTACATCATTGTGAAGGGTGAGAAATTTGTTTCTCAATGTGTCGTTCATTCTTCCATTGACACGAGAAAGTAGGATGAAGCACATGCATAGTAGAATGAGTGGTGGACGTCGAATGAAATGCATTTCTGTTGATCTTAACCTCATGTTGCATGGGAATAACAATGGGATAGCTCAACTGTTTACCGTCGAATTGAACATTCACATGTACATATATATCCTCAGGAGAACTAATCTGATCGATTCAAATCTCATAAGCTGCCTGGAGCATTTAAACGTCAATAAGAATTATGTTTTGCTTAATAAATGTAACTCATTTTGGGTCAACCGATTGATCAGTGTTAATCTCCACAGATAAAGAATGACATCTTCTTGAGGAATCATAATTGAAGATGGTGTTATGGCTGTATAACAACCCCCTTTCATCGTAATAGAGAACACCTGTTCGTTTGAGGTAAAGGCTATAAATCGTTGTACTTAAAGGTGAAGTGTATAATACTGTAATGTATTATTAATCCTGTCAACTGACGCCTGCTACATACGAACTGAGCTCAGTAAATGAAAGTCACTAGAGAGACTAAAGAGCTTTTGCACTACTTCAGGCAAATAATCCGTCTCTCTAAATTAACTCATGTTTTTTTCGTTTCTCTCGTACAGTTTTGATTGTTGCATCTCACATCTACTTGTTCAGAAACCTTCAATTAACTTGACGAGGCTTTTCTAATAAGGAGGCTAATGACTGGATATTTTTTCAAAGAATGTTGATCAAGTCATGATATTAAGTGTTATCACAATAATTTATGATTACAAAGCAGTGGGGCGAATGAGCAACTACTATCCAATAAGTACACAAAGGATATTTAAGACGGCTTGTACATTCCCTGAGTTTGTCTTCACTTACCACGCCCCCAAGAGGAATTTTTAAATGAATCAATGGATTTTTTGAACTTTGGAGGGTAAAATGTTTCGCAGAGGGATGATGCATTTACAAAACATCAAGCTTCAAATTTAAAAGGCTGCAAATCTTGACATTCACATTCTAAGGAGACGTTACTTGCCATCATTGCTTCTATGAGCATGGTACAATTTCAAAATCTTTGATTTCCACCTTTAAAAATCTATAAAGACTATAACACATTCTGTCATTCGGTGGTGCAGCTTTTCATTGTAACTTGTGAGTTTACAAGCTATTCAATATGAATGTTTTCGTGCACGGATACGACTCTGTTGAAACAATAATGATATTCGTGCAGATATCAGGTATTAATCTTCGCAGATGCTAATTTCCCCTTTACAGAGAGAATCGTATTTAATCGTCAAACACCACGTCAAATCAAAAATATGGGATGAAATTCGGAATATTTAAGACGAAGAAGGTATTGACTGAAAGCTAAGAGCAGGTTGGTAGTAGTGAGTTTCTCTCTGTGAACACATATTCTCAGCGTCACCATTCGAGTCGAGACAGCTTGATCAGTTTGAGGTAGAATTGAGGGAAGGCGGGAGAAATAAGTCAGTATTGCACTAAAGCTGATAGGAGACATTAACATTCATCAGATTAATTGTTGCTCTACGTGTGGTACTAAGTGTTTAGCGACTTCATATTGAACCCCAGTCAAAATGACAAACATTTCAATTGCAGTTCATACTACTATTATTATTTTATGTATTCAAACAAATGATTCGATCCTCTTACCGGATATAATTAAAACACTATATATATATATATATATTTCCATCAGAACATGAAGATAATCACACCATGTAAATCTGCGAGCAGAAATTTTCAATGAATTTATTATCAAGCTGTGCTTGTATATATATATATATATATATATATAATTGCAGAGCTTCATAATACATTCATTGAAAAAAGTCTGCTCGCAGAGTTACATGGTGTGATTTTCTAAATGTTCCAACGGAAATTTTCCATCTCTCAATATTTCTCCTCCATTTTACTGCTGTCAACATTGATTTTCTCGAAATCAGCTGAGTGAATATTCCAAAGAAGACATTACCACAGTCACAAATACTCGGAATGTAAGCCATTTCTACAATTACTCGGATTTACAGTCATTGAATCAATCAATCAGTCGTGTGTTGTAGCACTGCTCAACCACACGTCAGCTCCACCAATTAATCGGCGTCATCAACTGTCACTAAATACGTGTGTCTCATCAACAAGTACATGAAAAATCCCCCCCAGTTGACTGATGTCGAGTAAACAGAGACTGGTATTCATGGGATTGTTAGTTATCATGATTCCAGTAGGAATGATACAAGCAATTGTTAGGTGGTTGTCAGTGATCTCCTTGGAACCCTAGCCAGTATGTGTGTCGGCTTAATCGGGACAAAATCAAACATAAGTAGAGTTGACTGCTTAATTATGCGAAGGACTGTCCAGATGAAACGAAAGGCATCAACGATAGCGAAGACATCAGTAAATAACTGAGTTGATATGACGATTTGTGAATGTGAACAACACGTTAAGCCTCGATATCTGAACGTAATTCCGAATAGTTCAAACGAAGGACTCATTGACTGAGAGCTACGAATAACTTGGAAATAGTGTATATCTCAGTCAACACATACACGTAAATTCACTTTTCAAATAGCAAAACCGAATCAATTTGAGGTAGACTTGAGTATGTTAGTCTGTTCTCCAGCTCGACAGAATCTAATGCACTGAGTTAGTGATCTGTATGACATAAGAGGCGAAATATGTCATCGCTAAACGAGGCTGATCCTCTGAAATGCCATCTCTTCCTCTAAAGTCTACTGTTTTGCTGGTCTCCTCTTTGTCCGTCAGTCTCATGTGCTTTCCACGAAAACTACATATGTGCGCCATTACCAATGAATAAATAAATACACGATTCCTAGAGGTGTAAGTGTCTTCGGATTTGATGTCATCAGATATATGCATGCACTCCTGAATCTAGTGTACATTAGCTAATTCTCGAGTTGATTTCTTATCGATCACTTTACATACTTCGCTTCCAATGTTTAATGTTACATTCCATACACCAAGTAACATTGTTGGGCAGAATTACTATGGAACGAAGAATATTGGCCGTTGAGATTTCAGAAGCGTCCGTGAGTTTATTGCTCGATGAGCCTTATATTCTAGGCACACAAAGATCTTCGGGCGTGAGGGCATTAGCCTCGAAACAGGAGAATAATACATTTTAGACAAATGACAATTTTTCACATGATAATTCATATGTGAATCGTGGCAGTGACCGTCGTTTCAGTGAGCAGATTAACTCATGTGTTAGCCAGTTCTTGTAGAGTGCTATACATCCTCGATCATCCTTATCCATCTGAAATGAAGTGAACCATTCTGTGACAATCACACAATGATTTCAATGACGAAAATTACAAATTCACAACTCCTGAGAACTTACGGTGGATCTGGTCAACTGGAGGACACAATCATCACTCAAATACTTCTTCATCCATACCAATCAACTCGTCTTGAAGTTCACAATGTATCTGATCGATGATGCATAATATGCGACTACAACTCAACTAAACGTTGACAGCTGATGCTTTTCTTTCATGACAACGGAAGATATCTAAGTATTTCTGACGCTTCCGACACTTTGGAATAAGAAGACAAAGAGAAATGCGTCCGAAACTCACCACTGTGGGAAGTAGTTTCGTTGACTCGGAAACCATTGAGCATCTGATGAATAGGTTTGCCTTATCTAATTGGTTTCAAGTACACATCTGCACATTTTGCGAATAGCTACTCATACTACTCAGTTGGTTTCAGTAGAGACAAGAGATTAGTAGAGAAATGACTTTATCACAACACAAGTTACTTGCTCGAAAATCCGTCTAGAATGATGTCATTACCGAGACATGTGAACACCAGAAATATGACGACGGATGTGTTGGTCTCGTGACTTGATCCTATTGAAAATACGTGAGGTGTGTTAATGATTAGTAACTCAGAGCATCAAAGTCACTGAATATTTTTGTGTTTGACAATCACACATGTCGAGTGTTTGGACTGCCAGCTGTAATTCATTCTCTGATACACCAATATTCTGGGTATATCGAAATCTACCTATTTACTTTGTATTCGAGGATTTTACCAATATGATTGTCTTATGCATGCTTCATAATCACCTTCACACTTATATATGAAACTTCGACCTTTCACACGATCACATCGAAACAGCCTCCCCTTTGATTAGGCAGTTCTGTAGCGGTCGTTTAAGATGGTCGGTGGTGAAATAAAACTCCTTACAATCAGGCTTACTGGCTCTTTGTTGTCAAAGTATGATTCATGTGGAAGTGCAGAGTGAGTGCTTGACTTAATGGTACTGCTTTAGTTGCTACTGATATTTCTGTATACCACTCCTTCGGTAGTAACCATTCCTGTTTCACTATTTGGTCCTAAGTCTGTATAAAGAGAAAAGTCTAAGCGTTAATCTGGTGACCTTACGTTGGTAAATCAACCCAATCCAGGGCTATGCTACTACAATCAATGTATAAAATGATTGTCAGGGAGAATTCTACATACAACTGTAAACAGATACCAAATGGCGACATTAATATGCTAATGGACGATTTGAATACCAGCCAAACATTGAGCTAGCGATAGAAGAAGAGAAAACATGATAAGTCGGGAGACTGTCGGAAAAACGAACGAGACATTGGTGTCTTCACACCAGAAGTCAAGTTCAACACCCAGAAATTGAGGGCCAGTAATACAAATCCCACCTTCATTACAGCCATCACCACAATCACAGAGATATTATGTAGCACCAGGGAGGACACCTGTGTGGAAGAACACTGGAATTCTGTAAAAGTAATGTTGGATGCAACCTATATAGACGCTCCGGGAAAAAGGAAGAACCAAGACAAGGATTGGCTGTTTACTCTCACGTAGAATCTAAAAGAGGAGAGAAATGATTAGCGACTCTTAGTTCAGTCTGCAAAGCATTCACAACATAAGTGAAGAAGAGTGCTACGAAGGACAAAAGACGATGACACAACACACTGGAAACTGGCACATTAAACGGCTGCATGTAATAGAGTCTCTGTAACACTCCATCGGTTATCCAGGTTGTCAATGTTGGTGAAGTGTAGTACGGCTGCCCAAGTGTGAGGACTTCGTTTGAACATGGACACATTTGGAA